CAGGTCATCCTTTGACTTACGACTACAATTGAGAACAACTTTTCTGTGGTTAAGTTGAGACATTTGTTTACGGGGGTTTTGCCCCATTTTTTAAACTTACCTACCTTGCCACAGTCTTTAAGGGAATCACTGCAGTTGATAAGTTAGCAACCCGGTTGTTAAGTGAATCTGGCTTCCTCCTCGACTTTGCTTATCCAAAGGTCACAAAGAGGGGATCGCATAACCCCGGGACACAGCAACCGTCATAAATAGGAACCGGTTGCCAAGCACCTGAATTTTGATCACATGATCATGGGGATGCTTCAAAGGTCATAACCCTGAAAAATGGCCAAAAGGCTGGTGCTTGGTTGCTCAGGAATTGCCCTGAATTGGATTTATTCCTGTTCATATAATGATTACTGAGCTTCAAAAGGCAAGAACAATTATGATAGAAAAACAGAGACATTTCCTAATGTTGTTCTGACCCAAACTTGGTTCCAAGGAAGCAAACACGAGACAATGGTAACAGCACAACCTTTTAATGTTTCTTAATGAATCCCGTTCCTTCACGGGTAAAAGGCTGCTTCAAACCAATTAGCTTCGATAAGAAAGAGCCTTGCCAAGGTTTTGCAAGGCTGTCAAGAATACCAGATAAAGTTACTAAGCAATAATTCAAACACCAACTCAAATATTCCTAACGTCCACCAGGCTTGAGTATAAAACTTCTTTGCTTCCTGCAAAGAACTCTGTTTTCTCAGCTGGCTTTTATCTTTTAAGGGAGAGGCCATCACCTTCCAGCCTTACTCCCGAGTCGCCCGTGCTGCTGTAGCTGCTCTTTCCTTCGAGCAGCCCTTCGCGCACACGCACTGGGCACAGGCTCCTCGGGGACCTCTTCATCACTGCTACCAGCCTCCACAAGCTCCGAAGGCAGCACCCCACTCCCTGATGGTCCTGGTCCCATCCCTGCCTCACACGCAGGCCCCCCATCTGAGTCCTCGCTCTCTGAGACCTCAGCCATCCACACCTGCTGCTGGCGAACCACAACAAATGTGATAAATTGTCATTCAGCACGTTCCAACCATTTTATCACATTTGGGCTCAACCAAAACCAGTTTGCTGTTTTCAAGCCATCAGGTTTTGACAAGGGCTTAATTATAAGAAAAGGCTATCTTGCTAATTGTTTAAATTAAGGGTTTTCAGTCAAGAACCATGACTACAAAAAGAAGACACATCAGGTCTATTCTGTGAATTGTTGTGCAGCAGTAATGCTGTTGTGCAATAAAGTCTACAAGTCCCCAGGCTGCTTTTTCCAAAAGGCAACTGGACTGTCTTGTTTTTTGTTTTTTATTTAAACCATTTCACTTCTCATTCAAGAAGCTTCTTCAGTTCTAGCTGAAATTAGAACTGAAGAAGCTTCTTGGATGAAAAGCAAAATGTTTTCAAAGAACAACCCCCACCCCCAGGAAGTCCAGTTGCCTTTTGGATAGAACAAGTTTAGGACAACCATGACTGAGACTGAGAATCTCCACAAACATAAAGCGTTTAAAACTATTTGCACAAAATTGGAAAAGTGAAGAGATTCCGACTGAAGAGAATGTGGTTAGGATAATATTAGAATGTGCAGAAATGAACAGGCTAACACTGGCAATTAAAGAGAAGGAACAATTGGAACATTATATGATATGGGAATTATTTATCAATGACTGGAGAATAAATATGGAAATTAAAGAAGACTAGCGAAAAACAGTGAACACGTGAAAAGAATTAAAAATGTTAAGATGGGGAATGTTATAAGAATTGTATATATTTTATATATATCAGTATTAAGGAAGAATAAAGTATTAATACCAAGCAATCAATATGTATAAACTGTAACGGTTATTGCACAAGATATTTGTACCCAGATGACACACTATTTAAATGGAAGATGGATTGTTTGTATAAAATGAAATAATTTTTTAATATATATAAAAAAGAAACACATGATTAGTGCAATCCTTCCTTCATTTTCCCAGCCAGTGGAATTCTGGGAGCTGCTCTCACCACCCAACCAGACCATTCCCAGTTGAGTTAGAGTAGAAGACAGAAACTTTGAATGAGGAGATGCAGAGGGTAATTCAAGTGTTGACACAACTGTCATGCCGCCATCAGAATTGACAGTTCTTGTCTTCAACCCAACCAGGAGGGTCTATATGTGCTCCCTGGCTATTTTTGACCAGGGTTGTGAAGATCACTGGATTAAAATAGTGTCCGGAGATTCTGCCGTCACAAGAAGAAGGTGCACGTTTCTGCATTTGGGACAGTAATTTGACTCGTTAAAGCAGCAAGGATTTGCTGAAGGAAGTGAGTTCCTTCCTGGCACAAAACAGGTTCTGCTTTAACAGACGGGAGCTGAAAACCAGATGGGAACTTTTCCACCATACCCAGAAAGCAAGATTTCCTTTTCTTGTCTATATAAACTTGCAGTAACTTCTTTCAAATGCTAGAGAAGTAGAAAGTGACTCAAAGCAGTAATTTAATCAAGGAGGAGTTGGAAAAGTTGAGCCTATATTTTCCGTATTTCCCCCGCCCATTGCTTTCAGAACTGGGTGAGGGGGAAATAACTTAGGGATACTCCTCCTTATACAAACCCTTTTATCTGTTTATTTCCTTCTTTTCCTCCACTGTCCTGTCGCTGACCTGATTAGACACACTGTCCATTAGGAGAAAATTGATCCGGTTATGTTTTTTCCCTTATTTAATTCTCCCTCCAAGATAAACTCTTTATAAATGTGAGTCAACTAGTTTTGTCTCTGGCTTTCTCTCTTTCAAGGAGAAATGTTTTGTAGATCAAGTAGAAGAGAGAGGAAAAAATTCTAAATAGATTTTAATTGGATCAATCTGTGAAACAGTGCAAACCTATCCATTTTTATTTAGAAATGAAGGCTGCTTAATTTAACAACTTGGGTTTAAATTATTGCACTTGATGTTGGACCTGTCAAAATTTTGCACCTGGCCTTTCCTCCCTCTTCTCCCAAAATTAGATTTTACTAGGCAAAAGTCAGTTCTAACATTTTCGAGGCTTACAATTCCTTTCGATCAGAGGTCACCTCACACTGATAACTAGTTTAGTTTTATTTTAGTTGCATTAGGCACACTTTTTCCTAAGCAGAAGAGATTCTTTAAGAACAGAACACTACATGTGGATCTTAACTCACATATTTGTGTAAGAGCACAAGTAATTAGGCATATGTTTTGTTTTTCAACATGTAAATAACATTTACTTTGTAGCATTTTTATGCATTTTCGGGAATTGGTGATACAGCGAGGTTTGCTGTAGTGTTTTATTCTGTCCCATTTACTGTTAAATATTAGTATATAATGTTCTTCCTTGTACTGATCAAATTCCATGTTGTCACCCCTCAGTGGTGGCGATATTTTATTCAAGAGTAAGGTAGACTTCAGTAAATGTATATATATATGGTAAGAAAGGATCTTCTGTAGAAAAATCATTTTTTAATTTGTGTGTAATGCTGCCTGGTCCATGGTGAGGTAAAGGGGTTGAACAATTATTTTATTATCTTCCATTGGATAACTGTTAAAATCCTGAAATGGAAGAGAACACTTTTTATATCAGCAAAAAAATAATGCCCTCCAAAGTGTTTAGGGCTTGAGACAAGCAGGGGGATTGTGTGGGACTACTGTATGTTGAGGACAGTTTGCATTTGTGTTGTGTTGTATGTTTTCTGTCTGCAAATCATGCTGGTCTGTATTTGCCATCTGCAACAGTTGCATGTCTTCTAACATCACATCTCTGCAGGTGGGTACATATAGTGTATAGAAAACCTCTGTTAAAGTCAAGCCACATGCACTGTGCTAAAATGAGACTAAAATACAGGGAACGTGTTATGTAGCTTACTGTCCGTTTTATCTTGTGATAACTGAGATCTCAGACCTGTACCCTATTTACTCATTCACCAAGTTATGGAATTTTTCCTTACATTTATTATTGTGTCTGAAAGATAATGATCATGAAACAGAACGACTGTAGTAATCCCAGGTTGCATACTGTGCATTAAAACATAGCTTATTAACCCAGCCTAGATAACCTCCTACCTAAGCCTTGCATTCATTAACAGCTGAAGAACCCAAAGACTTTGAAATACATTATGAAGATTTCAAAGTCAGATTAATCTAATAAATCAAATAGCCTTTAGCCAATGGATCTTAGGAAGACGGTGTTCGTGTGGTTAAATTTGCTCATACAGTATTTAATTGTGACACAGTTACGTCTGCTATTGTGGCAAAAATTAGGAATAGGCTAATTTTTCTGCTCTAATGCAGGGATCTTCAACCTTGGTAGCTTTAAGACTTTAAACTTCAAGCATGGCTGGCTGAGGAATTCTGGGAGTTCAAATCCACAAGTCTTAAAATTGCCAGGTTGGAGATCCCTGCGTAATGAATGAAATATTTGGAGAAGTTGCCCAATTCATCTAAACCGGTAAAGACCCTGTCAAATGAAGACAATCGCCTCATTCTCTGACTGTTGTTTACTGGTACAATTGCTGCATTGCTCCTCAACTATGGAGGATATTTGCCTTGGGAGTTGCCTTCAACTGGATCACTTCAGGAAGAGTCTTTTAACTGCATTTAGGAAAAGAGTCCAGTTCCTCCTTTTTACCCACCCTTTTCCAGTTTGAAGACTAGTTGATTTTAACCGTTTTCAGCTGATATTCAAGTTTTAGTATCAGTCCCCTTGAATGACCTCTAGACTAGAAGGCAAAAATACAGGTGATAAGAACACTAATAAGAGTCCAGTTGAGTGTTGGCATTGTATAGATTGCATACAGATCTAAATATAATAATGGATTTTGACTGCAATAGTTTATTCCTTTGTTGCCCTTGCAGAGGCATGGAAAATGTCGGTTTCGTTGCCCTTTGCTCTTTAACTTTAAAGACAGAAGTTAATTTTGAAGCAGATACCAGTAAGGTTCCCATTCTTCCTTATCCTAATCTGTTGGTCTGAAATGTTTCCTCTACAGCCTCAAGTACTACAGCCTTCCAGCCACCTTCCCCATTCCGCAGACTTCAGCCAGGGAAAACTAGCAAAAGCATCATCCACCGTGGCTCGCAGTGAACCCCCTCCTCAGGACCAACCTGTTGGCCACGAAGGCGACAATGCTGCCCTCGGCTCCGGCACGGACAGCAGGCGTGAACCAAGCACTTTAAACACACAGCGGAACGAGGACAGCTCCCTGGCGAACGCACATTCCATCAAGAACGAAGGGGTCAGAGAAAAAGCTAAAGACCTAGCCAGTCGGAAATCGAAGGCCTTGCAACCCCTTGGACCCTCGGCCAAGTTGAACGCGCAGGACGGGCAGGCCAAGCTAGCTCTCAAAAGTCACAGCTCCAGGCCAAACCAGGCTTTGCCACCAAAGATGTCGAGAGCTCTCCGAGCCCCGAAGCAGACCGTGCCAGTGCCTCCTCCTCATCCTCATCCAGCAACCTCTTCGAGAGTCTCCCTTGTGCCTCCACTGAGCAGCCAGGCGCAACCCCTGTCGGAGTCCAACCTCTCCCTTCCAAGTAGCAGGAGCCAGAGGGCCTCCAAACTTCGCCCTCCAGCCATTTCCTTCCGCCCCAAGCCGAGGACAATCCCCCAAACCATCGTAGCTCCTGAGCAGCAGAGGTTTCAGGCTAGCACCTCGAAGCCCCTGACGCCAGCGAAAGATGCCCCCCAGAACCGAGACCCAGCCCTTCGCCCCGGGGAGGGCCTGACGTTGCATCGTCACTCCCGACTCCCTAAACCAAAGACGTAGCCCAAGCGGGACTCTCTCCAATGTCATTGCCGTGGTCCTTTTCCCATGACCCTGCTTGCCCACGCCTTTCCTGGCCAGGAGGCCCCAGGGAGAGCCTGGAGGCACCAAATGCTGCACGTCTCCTGAGTAGGCTTCTTCTTATCATCTCAGTTTTACCCTCTTTAAAAGTGTGCATTGCTCCTTCAAGCCTCGATCTGCATGAGCCTGTGACCTCTCCTGAGGGCACCAATGGTCTTCCCCTGCCCAGGAAGTTGCTGACGGAAATTGTATCCTTTGGATGTCTCCCCCCCGCTTCAAAGAATAGACGAGTGAGGCCTACCTTCTGGTTCTGGGAATTAATTATAAGCGATGGACAAATGATACTTGCTGATCTCTCTCTCTCTCTCTCTCTCTTTTTTTTTTTTTGGTTGTGTAGGTTTCTTCTTTCCATGTTGCTCTTCAGCCATAAGTCTGTCTCTGTATCTCAAGAGGCCTATGCAAATCGTCTCTATTTATAACCCTCAAACTTTGTAAAAGATGTATATTTAATATTTAATGGAGGTTGTATGTTTTCGCAAGAAAGATCCCAACTTGTTCTCTGTGTTTTTGGGGTCCATATTCACAAGTGGCCACAAATTTTCACAGGGTGAAGTGGATATATTTATATTTAAATTCTTACCCGTTCCTTGTAGATAAGCTGTAGAATATATAAATGTTTAATCAGTTATCATGGCGTAACTGAAAAACTGTATTTAATATATATCCCAAGACTTTGGTTTATACCAACGGTTGTCAAATGGCTTTGTGATGGGACTCTGGAAATGATGAGTCCATGACCGCCAGCTTGTAAATTTTCATTTCAAGGCTTCCTTAATGGTAACACTATTTATTGAGTTCTGTTACAACTAAAAATCTCAAAGAAGCCAATTTGGAATGTTTGCACAAAATTTTGCCATATGTGTAGGGATTCAAAAATTATTTTTCATAATAAAGCTTACGTTTTTTAAAACCCTATTTTTAAAATGCAAATGCATTTATGTACGCGCACACACACTTGGGGAAACCTTGGGAAGTCATAAAAGAACAAAAATGTTTTAAACTTTATCGAAATGATAGAAAGTCACTGGAGACAGAGAAATTCTGTCAGATATAGGCCATCAATGGAAGGAAGGCTTAACGAGAACCACAGAAACAAACGTTGTATATGTGGTTCAATTGTCTTAAAATCTTATTCCAGTATCAATCTGAGAACACTTGTTTGAAATGGCATTTAAAAAAAACACTTAAAAGTGTTAAATAAAACTTGAAAAATACACCACAGCATTCATTTTGAGCTCTGCTGACTATTACTTATAGAATGCTTCTTATAGAAAAACACATCCTTAAAAAAACAACAATCAAAATAACCTTCCCAAACCTGGCACACTCCAAATATATCGGGCTAAATCTTCATCGTCCTCAAATAATCTGGCTAGCTAGGAACTGTGGCCTATTTGGAGGGCACCAGATAGGCTAAATTAAGCCAGGGAAAAGTAGCTTTGGTTTTCTTAAGAAGGATAAGTAAGAAATATATGGAGCCAACTTAAGTTTATCATCAAAAGACTGACCCAGGAACCATTAGCTGGGTTTGTGTCGCTTGTAAACCTTGACGGTGTGCAGTGAAATGTTCTTGATGTTGTTGGCCGGAAAATGCTTTCTTGGGTGGGTGGGTAGGGAACAGTTTCTTCAAGTGGCAGACATGCTCTAAGCTTCAGTTGCCCCTTTTTTGTGATGGTGGTTGAAGGAGGACTGTGTTTAAAACAGGCAGGGTTTTTTTGTTTGTTGTAACATTAGCTCCATGAACCTCAACGAGGATCACAACCTTGTTTAATCCAGGCCGACCAGCACATCGGCCCAGGTAGTTGCGGCTGAACCCTTGGCCGATCAGTCTGGCACCGTGGGGGTGTGTCAAACGCAGCCTGTCCAGTGAGCCGTTGTCCAAGCATGCCCACTGACCCAATGGGACCCAAGGGTCTGCCTACTTTCAACACTATAAATATGATGGGATCCTATGTAATCGCACAAACATCGGCTGTCCAGAGGGGGATCAAAAATAAAAATTAAAAATCTACAACCACCGTCTTGCTCTTTTTGACACCTTCTGGATGCCGATGATCGAGCTGTTTCTCCCCCACTCCCCTAATATTTAACCCCATCTTCTTGTCCCTGTCAAGATGTGAATGTACCATGTCAACAGAAGACGCCTAACCACTAAGGATACCTGTAGAGTTAGACAAATGAAAAACAGGGGAGAGAGAGGAGAGAGAGAGAGAGAGTTGTCTCACACTTCTCAATGGCAAGTAATAACTGTAATCTGGCTTACAAAAGCACAACTGCATCAGGTTGAACTACGTCTGTACCATGGTATGCATTTAGGAGGGCCTTCAGCTAGCATTTTTAAATTCATGTTCCTGGCATTAACTTTAAGCACTTCATGAGAAGTAACCCTTCGAGGTGGCCTGTTTGCTTCAGGAAGATACAGCTCTTGGAAGGGGGGAATTTCTTTCCCAAGATAACACTAGCCTTTTGCTCCCAATTTCATTGTCAGGCTGGCCATGGCGCTAGAAGCAAGCTGATGGTAGCAGATGGCAGCGTGTAAGGTTGGCACTCAACCTGTAAACTCTGTCTTGAGGCAACTTCACTCACCCAGAGAGGGTTGACTGAGCTGCCCTGAGTCGTAATTTTGGGCATTATGTTCGGGCAAAGCGAAGGTGGGACCTGGTGGGTTTTTAAGCATTGTTTGTGAGTCTCCCTTATACAACTGAGAGGGCCACCCCTTTTGAATGCAGTTGTGTCAGAGAAAGTTCTTGTGTATGTTTAGGGCCGAGGTCTCCAAACTTGGCAACTTTCAAGACTTGTGGACTTCAATTCAATTCAACCTGGGAATTCAATTCCACAAGCCTTAAAGTTTGGGGACCCCTGGTTTAGTATGATCTGAAGGCTCATTCAAGTGGGTAGGAGTCTCAGATAGGCAGCCAGATTCACAGTGGCCTTAACGATTTCTTTAAGGTGGAAAAAAAAGAATCTTACGGGATTTTATGAATTTTTGCTTTTTGTTAACATGCATTGTGTCCATTGGATTCTGCTGCAATTATTCCTAAGGTGTTAAACCACTCCAATGTGTATCATGAAGTGGAAATGGAACAAAACAGATTTGCACTTGATGAGCGTGGAGTTGTGCCTAAATTTAAAGGTCCACGACTGAAGTAGTGAAATAGTTTTTCACTACATATTAATGTTCATGTTTCAGGTTTTGTTTTTGTCTTTAAACATAAGCTTTCAGCCCCTGAAACGCTTCTCTGCCTCTTCACTATCCCAAAGTATTCCTGGAACTGTGGCTTTGCATGCCTACACAACCTGGTCTCGCAAAGCTTTTTTTGTCTTGTTAAGCGTCTTCTTTCTGAACCCCCACTTTCTTCACGCTGTAACTCAAAAAGAGAAAATTCCTAAGGCGTTTGTCAAAACTGAGGCTTGCCTTTAGAATGGCTTGATTTGATTATTATTATTTTTTAAAAAAACATTAGTCAGCAATAAATGCCATCTGCCTTGTGCAAACAAGGAGCATCACATATTTCAAGAATCCAGGAATAGGGAGTTGCAAACCGTCTACACCGCTAAGCCTTTTGTGCGATGGTGCATTAAGCATCCTAAGGTTGATTCCCCCCCCCCTCTCATTTTTTTGGCATTTTTACTTTTGGTAGACTTTCCTGCTTACCACCAGAAGCATCCTGGAACCAGACTGACAATTCCATTTGGTCTCCCCGTTATCTGATAGTAGCGGTTCTCCAAATGCAACAGACCTGGTCCAGTTGAATTGTAACCCCATTGGAAGACAACGCCCCTAAATTTAAACCTGTCCTTGCCTTTGGCTGGTTCAGCCTCTGTGGGATTATCGTGTCAGTGAGTAGTGCCTTTGTTGAAACGCAATCATGGTTAGAGAAATTGAGCTGGGTCTTTCAGAAACTGAAGTTTAACGTTGATCAACTGCTGCGGTCAAGCTGCTCACTGCCTGTGTGATTCTCAAAAGCACCATGATTAATCAAGATTAACTGCAGCCTTAGTCTTTGTACTAAATCAGTACTAGCTGCAAAATACTCTTTAACAATGTAGTCTCTTTGCCTAAAGGGGAAAAAGAAAAAGAAAAAAAGAGAGAAATACTGTATACTGGAACCTGCTTGTAAAGATAATTTAAAAAGCCTGTATGTAAAGACTTTCCTCAGTGTTGCTTTATTGAATAAACTTCCTAATTCGAGTGGGTTTTTGTGTGTGTGTGCTAGCTGTCACTGGTTGTGTTGGGGTGTGTGTTTTTGCTGGGCAATCAAAGAGAAACTTGAAATGAATCCTGTATTTTGAATGGATCTTCTGCCACCTAGTGTGATCAGTGGAAATTACTCTGTAAAAGGAGATAAATTTCCAATCCAGGGGAATTTAGCTTATTCTCAAGACGTGAGATTGATTCTATCTTTTATATACCAAGGGTGTCCCACCTATCTTTTATATACCAAGGGTGTCCAATGCTTGTGGACTTCAAATCCCAGAATCTGGGAGTTGAAGTCCACAGATCTTAAAGTTGCCAAGATTTGACACCCGTTTTTGTTAACTCTCTTAATTCTTGCAGGATCCAAAACGAAACCTCTGTTTCTGGTGACTGACCCAGATTGGATCCTGCAACATTACCCTGGGACACGTATATTTGCCTTCATTTGTGTCTTAATTGTTCTCTTGGTCTAATTGCCTACTGCTGCTGCTGCTTGTGCCAATCCGTCATCAGACATTGGCGATCCTACTTTTATCAACAGCCGCACGACAAAGTGCTGCTGAGTTTTGTCCCTGAGATTTTGAAGCCATGATGTTCTTCTGCCTGGAATCTTCCATCTTTCCTTGGAGGATTAAGTGAAGTATGCCACATTTTTCTGGGTGACGCATCACATGTCCAAAATAGTCTGACTATGGTTTTGATTATTTCCCTTGGCCTCCCAGGCGGCTTATCCAGTGGTGGGATTCAGAGGTTTTTTTTTAACCACTGGTTAGGTGGCTTGGTGGACTCGCTTTGTGTGCAGGCACACACTTTGCGTGGCAAATACGCACTTTGCGCAGGCGCAGAGGCGTTCCAACTCGCCTGCTGCAAGCCTGCACTCTCCCGGTTGGTTCAGCAGCTGCCATGTAGCACTCTGCTATACTGTGCAAAGCAGCTGCGCTTCAAAAGCAGAGGATAAAGGTGAGTATAGGAGCCCAGGTGGGCCCAACTGGTTCTCGGCCGCGAGAACCAGTTCAGTCTCCGCTGCTCATCGGCGTTACTGGCTCAGCAGAACCGGGCCAAACCGGTAGAATACCACCACTGGGCTTATCCCAGGTAGCCTATTTACTAACCCTAACCCTACTGGCTATATTCCAAATTATACTCCAATCATTTTCTATATCTTTCTTTACTTTATTGTCATTGCACTTTGCACAACGAAATCAAACACCGTCTTCATTGCACATCCTAAGTAATACCTGAAATGTGTGTTTGCCCTCTTGGCTCTCAGCCTCTTTATGAAGGGTTTTCACAGCACACCTGTTGGAACAGAAACAACATGAGTTGAAAATATGTAGCACACACCAACAGCTCTTCTGCTCAAAGGCTGCTGTGACTTTGCCTCCTGGAGCTTTCAGGAACCCTGCTTGGTAATTTTCTCAGCAGAAAGAAGTCTTTCCTCCAAAGACAAGGGTCTTCAAACTTGACAGCTTTAAGACTTGTGGACTTCAACTCCCAGAGTTCCTGAGCTAACATGACTGGAAGAGGAATTCTGGGAGTTGAAGTCCACAAGTCTTAAAGCTGTCAAGTTTGAAGGCCCCTGTCCAAATACATTCAAGGCCAGCCTGCTATTAGCTCCTGCACCCAGGTTCAACAGTCGAGTGAGGCTACCATCTGTGGAGACATCTTTAGTACTGTTATGCTATTCCCCCCCCCCCCCCCAAAAAAAAAAAACCCCTAAAGGCCTAGCCATAGGCAAGCCCAGAGGTCTCCAAATTTGTCAAGTTGAAGACTTGTGGACTTCAACTCTCAGAATTCCTGGGCTAACATGATAGGAGGAGGAATTCTGGGAGTTGAAGTCCACAACTCTTAAAGCTGTCATGTTTGGAGACCTGGGCTTGCCTATGCTTCTCTGGTATAGCCTAAGGGTGAAACTGTTCCCATCCCCAGCTGAATCTCAGAATGGCTCTGATCTAATCATCAGATAACCCAGTCAAGGTATTGGTAACTCAGACAAACAACAGCCAGATCAAGGAACCATCAAGAACCCTCCCAGCAACGCTGACGGGGATAGCCACTATAAACAGCAAAACCCCGGGCCCTTCTAGTACTGATGATGTTGCCTAGTTGGGTCATGAAATGCCTGCAAGAAAATTGCCAAGTTCGGAGAGCATCAAGGACCCCACTAATCACCCCTATTTTAATCTTGTACCTCTTAATTCAGAGTGAATCTGGGCTTACATGGTTTAATGATTTATAATCTTTCCATCTTTATTTCCCAAATCACCAAATGGGCTGTGCGCCAGGGTAGGTAGATCAAAAGACAATCTTAAGAAAACGGGGCTTCCCTATAGAACTGGGGTGTCAAACTGGCAGCCTGCGGGCCAGATGTGTCATGCGCAGGCCACGCTTACCCCAGCTCAGCGAAAGGAAAAAATGTTGCATGATGGCAACGTGACACCGCAAATTTGATACCTGTGCTATAAAAGATACTGTGTGAATGTGGAGGAGAACAATCCATCTCATGGCGTATACAATATCCCCCAACCTATTCAGTGATGCTGGCAACAGAAAATGCCAGTGACATGGCCCAATACTGGGTGAATTTAGAATAGAATAGAATAGAATAGAATAGAATAGAATAGAATAGAATAGAATAGAATAGAATTAATATAATATATAATAATATAATATAATTGAATGGAAACAGAAACAGAACAGAATAGCTGGAAGGGACCTTGGAGGTCTTCTAGTCTAGCCCCCTGCTTCAAGTGGGAGAACCTATATTATTTTAGATAAATGACTGTCTATTTTTTTTCATATAGTTTTTATCCTATTTATCCTACATATTTTTACACCTGCTGTATTTCTATGTCCTATGTTGTACCTATTTTATTCGCTCAGTGTTGAATGTGATATGTCTCATTTGTAGGTGCTTCTGACACCAATTTAAAAAAACCCAATTACCAAAAGCTAGGGAAGCACCTTTTTCCATGCTGTGGCAGGTTCCGATTGTTGGCAAAGGTATCTCCATTTAGGTCGATCTAGGACGTCTTCAGGGTGACACCCCGTATTTATTTGTCCTCCTTGATGCGGTCCATCCACCCTTTCTTGGTCTGCCATGGGTTGCCTGCCATATAAGTATGAAGTCTTGAAAACTTTGTATTTCAAAATGAATACTTTATTGAAGAGGAGTAAAGCAGGTCAAAATTCAAAGCAGGATCTGAGGCCCCTCAGGCCATGCAACTATGATAAAAGGTGTTAGAAACCCCTCCTAACAGTGTGATGTGGATTCCGCCAATCCACAGGTGTGAAGATGTTATTTTACCAGCGCTTCTGGGAAAGCAGATAAAGGAAGATTCCCAGGTGTGATAAAAATCAACCATTCTGATACGCAGACAACTGGAGACACATGAACAATATACAGTGTAAGACATGGTTCCCAGGAAGGCTGGGGTTTATATACAGGTTCAAATATACAGTCTCTGCCCCTTTCCGTGTTCACAATCTGTCCAGCTACGTATCTCCCTATGCAACATTATTATTGTTGCATTACATCTGTTTCCTTGTCCTGTTTACCCATTTCCATTTCCACTAATCTCCATCATGAACATGACACTGGACAATGTGACCGCCAAATATGTGACCTTCAAATACAAAACAATAGAGAATTCTTATATAATATTCCAGTAAATTATCTTAGGTTAACACTAGAGGTTAAAAATGGCATTACCATTGCTTTATATTTTCACAGGTATAATTCTATATATCATACCAGGCTATCTTCCAAGTGTTGCAATCTACATGGACCCTTCTCCCCCAAGAGGTGAGAATTCTCCAGGCATCTGGGGCGCCAGGCAACGGTTGTAAATCGTGTAAAAGCTTAATACAAAAGATAATGTAAGAAATAGGCTATTTAGGATACATAGCAAGGCAAAGAATTAAATGTATCAAATTCAAACACACACACACACACACTCCTTTCTTCCACCAAAGAATGGCAGATACACGGATCTGATAGTAAGTGACAGAGGAGTAACACCTTAGAAAACCTTGGTCCAGCTGGCCTGGCTGGTAGCACCTTGTAAGGGTTCCAGGGTTACTGGAGTACTAATACTTGGCAGTTGTTGTGGTTCGCCGGCAGCCTGTGCAGACGGCAGCGGAATCGGACAGTGGGGAAAAACAGGGACCGGTCAGGGATTCTGGAGAGGACTTGGACGAGGGTCCTGTGTCCAATGAAGAGATGGGACCAGGACCATCTGGGAGTGGGATGCTGCCTCGAGCCTCTGGAGTCTGGCAGCAGCAAGGCAGAGGAACAAGGGGAGCCTGTTCCCAGTGCGTGTGTGCGCAGAGCTGCTAGAAGGCAAGAACAGCTGAAGCAGAAGGGGTGACTCAGGAGTAAGACTTGGAGGTGATTGCCCTCCCATAATGTATAAAGGACAGGCAAAGGTGACAAAACCTTTGCAGGAAGCAAAGTCGTTCATTCTGTTCTGATTAATCCTTGAAGCTCTGTGTGGACTTTGTACTTTGGTTGGTTTTTATAATTCATTTGGCACTCCAGTTGTTGGTAGCAATTCAAAGAAGAGAAAGGTGGGTGCTTATCTCAAGGAGCTGTTTGGGACTCATTACAGGCTAGGAATGAACATAATTCCCAGCGTTGGAATAAAACAAGAATTGTTTTAACTAAGCGTGTGCTTAATTATGGTCTCGGGAAGCCTTGGTCAGAACAGCAGTAGGTATAAAATGCCTTCAACTACAGATGGAGTGACACATCAGTTGGAGTACCTCAAGTCATATCAATGGCACTGCCTAGTCAAAAACTAGGGAAAAAACATACTTATGCCAATTAATCCTCGTCTTATGGCATCAATTGAGCCCAAAATTTCTGTTGCTAATCAAGACATCTGTGAATCCCCCCCCCCTTTTTAAACCTTTCTTGCTACAGCTGTTAAGTAAATCACTGCAGTTAAGTTAGTAACCCAGTTGTTAGGTAAATCTGGATTCCCCATTGA